GAGCTTGCGAGATTAAACCAGCCGACACTTCCCTTGCCGACTCTCCCGCAGGAACACCGTCCAGACTATACAGATAACTTCATGTCGCCGCCCGGGTGACCCCAGGTCACCAACCGGCCGCCTCTGCTCTCCTCTCGGCGGCGTGGGTGCGTTCCGTTCGGGTGACTCCAGGTCACCACCCGGCTGACCCCAGTTCGCGCCGGCCACCTCTGCTCTCCTCTGGGCGGCGCGGGTCCCGGACCGGGGGATCCCCGGACGACACCGCCCGCTCCAGAGCCGCCCCACGGCGCAGCGCAGCGGAAGCCGCATAAGGCACTGTGGCGCAGCGCCGCGCCGGGGCCGGCGGGGCGGAACGTCCGGAGATGAGTTTAGTGAACCATGAATTATTTATAGGTGAATCACCAGGGTCAATGTCAGATTTAGATTTCAGGCTGAGTTCATGTGAAGTCAAAGAACAATAAATTTTAAACTTGCATGCCAGGGCCCGGGGAACGAATTTGCATCATTGCGTAGTAGCTACCTACATGTTCGAGCGTGCCCATAATGCATCATTCAATTATCCCTCGCTGGCCGATGGGGGAGGAGGGGGCAGGTGCCACCCTGTCAGTTTCCTACCGGATGCTTGGGAGGTGTTAGCAATTGAGGGCTGAGCTGAAAGCAGTCATACCTGAGTCTTAACCCTCGCATGTGTGCGGCGTTTTCCAGCTTCTAATGTGTAGGGGGGGGGGTCGGTTGGACCCCCCCCCCCTTGCCGTTTGGCCCCTGATCGAGCTAGAGCTTCGCGGAAAAAACGAGCGTGTTGCCCGTGACGAGAGGAAGCCGATGATACCCAATTTTAAGGTCCTAGGTCATTGGTTGACCTTCCAGGTCAGGTCAATGACCCAAGGTCGGGAAAATCGGGGCCTGTTAGAAAGTCGTAAAGTGTGGCTGCTAAGGGGTTTTTCGGGGTGCTGATCACGAATATCGTGTTAGTTTTGATCACAGATGATGTCTTTAAGCATTTAGACCAGGTCGGGTCAGGTCAGGTCAGGTCAACCAGTAGGCGTCGTGACGGGTATTAGTATTACGTGTCAACCGCCTCTGACAGCTTCGTAACATGTTACGAAGTCACCAAAACTACTTCGTAAATGTTCAAATGGTTGCTAAATTCGAATTCAGCTCCAAAAACTAGCCTAGAAACATGTAAAACTCGAAAAAGTGAACCGAGGTCACCAAAGGTCAATGACCTGACCTGACCTTCAGGTCACCTTGACACCCACCCTAATGCATGGGAGCAACATCAAATCACATGTTTGAACGTTTGAAACCGCGAAAAGCTTGCAAACGCGCGGCTAATGCGAGCCGACATACGCGGAATCGCGATTCCGGCCAAACATGGTCTCGGAAAAGAGGTCACAGGTCAAAGGTCATTGGGGTCAGGGTCATGAAATTTTCAGGGTAGGTGTAAAATTGATCAATGCGAGGGTACTGAAAGTTTCGTCGCGATCGGCCGCTTTTTACGCGAGTTATTCGCGAAAAACCATGGGGGGGGGTCCATCCGACCCCCCCCCCCCCCCTACACATGCGAGGGTTAATACTCAAGCCAGATCTTGCAACTCGACAACACTTCCAGGTCCGATAGGCCACAGACGTATGACGTCAAGAGTTCGGTACAAAAATATCGCAGCCTCGCAACACCCTCAGTGTGAGGAATTACGTATTCCCTGGGAGATGAAATTGAAACAAAATAGCAGTAGCTCCCGAATCCTCTCAAACTGTTATCTTTCGTCTTTCATAAAGGTCAGGGTGGACACGCGACCTCACCATTCAACAATCGGCTACAGGTATTGTCGCAAGGCTTTGTTCAAAGGACTATTGCTACAAGCGCGTATGGCCTTGTTCAGGTGCGTGCGGCCCGCTGCAGATCCGGGTTATTAATTCAACGACTGACCGGTTCTGCAGAGGTTTCCGCGTCGTTCCTCGAATAAGCTTATGCGCTTGCCGCATGACGCTCCTTATATGATCGCGCTGTGCGTGAAAGATCCTGTATAAAAGCGTGCGTGAATTATCAAATACACAGAGTGCTCGAGACCGGCTTTGGGGACGCATCGGCACACCGAACCTCCAGTAAGTCGGCGATTCCACCGGCCGACACAATGGTGGCAGCGGCGGTCGAGGGGACTTGTGCCCCTCACCACGGACCCCAGCCTCTACATCTGCACTGACATCGCAGACTGGTTAGTCCGTGCTCCGTGACAGTGTATCGCCCCTACGTCGCGTCATCGACTAGGGAGCTGATCATCCTGGACTCGTCATCGTCCAGCAGCACCGTCTCCAGTGAGTAGCTCTGCCCAGCAAGACTATCTGCCCTGCGGTAACGTCATCAGCTGCCCTGGACTCGCTACGGAGCCCGCCGACAGCGCACGGCTCATCAGCCCGCGCCGTCCTCCTCAGCATCATCGAGTGATGGACACCACCTCGCTGAAAGACTCAAGCTCGGAGGAGAGAAGATAAAACAAAAACTTCAACGCTAAATTCAAGAGAAATTGGCACCGAAATCAAGAAAATTCACCCATTATGAACTTTTGCTGTATTTTCGTCAAAAAGTGACAGTGAAATTGTGCTGTGAAATTTGTTTTAACTTCGATGTGTTTTAAAAACCGTACTGTTTCATTATCCGTTTTCGTCAGTGTTCTGTCGTTTGTTGTGCTTCATTGTGGTTGCTCACCCCAAAATTTACGGAGAAATTGCAAATGCGCTTAATTTTTACCTGCATTTTGCAGTGTCACTTTGACACTTATAAGCATAAAAAGAGCATATTCTGAAGTCGGTATGAACATTCAAATACGTTAATCGTGGTCAATTCACTGAAATTATATTGTATTGATATTCGGCCAGAGATGCCGAGGGCCATGGAGATGCCCAGGGACGGTCCCCGCCAAGAGTGCGGAGGGATCGCCCGGTAGTAGGTGTAATTGTCACGAAACTTACTTATCTGTTCATACCATTTTGTGATACGCTCATATGGAAATTTCTTTCTCCGTCAGCTAAACGTTTCCTCTCTTTGTTATGATCGCTTCGGTTCCCTACGCTTCCCTGGGGGAGGGAAGATAATGTGGGACCGATTCCCTTCTTCCATATCATGATAAAGAGAGTACACGTTCAAGCTTTGTTACAATGAAATACCCGTCACTTTCCCCTTCGTGACGGCACCGCCCGACGACCTAGATATACCAGAAGGTCGGCGGACCGGTCCTTCATTGTGCAACCACCTTGCATATAACGCACAGGCACTGGCGAACCCCAATCAGAATCAGAACCACAGTTGGAATACAAGTCTCGGCCCGCTCAGTCTTCTCTCCATCCGCGCCTCCGCGACAATGGTGTTTGCGATTCGTTCTTCCGTAAACCGTTCGACTGGAGACACTCCAGCCCAAATCTTCACAGGCCGAGATCCGATCCTCCCTTTAGATGTAGACGCACAGGTTCCATTCGATCCGTTCTCATCCATCGATTCTTACCGCGACGTCCTTCACAAACATTTGGATTCTCTTCACTCCGTCGTGCGTGCAAACAACGAATCCGCTATTTTGGCACAAGAACAGTCTCACGCGACACAAGACCAAACCCCATCCTTTCCTCCCAACTCCCTTGTGTTCCTTCACAATCCTCAGTTCAAGCCCGGTTTGACTCGCAAATTCCAAAAAGTCAACCGCGGCCCATACCGTGTGCTGCACATGACGAGCCCCGTGAATGCTCGTATACAGCACACCTCAAACCCTGACGACGTGCAGCTCGTCCACGTCGACCGGCTGAGGCGTTTTACTGAGCACACACAGCTCAAAGCCTCAGAAGATCCTTCTCGCAGTTGCGAACCTGACGGTGGTTCCGTAGGCCAGGCCACTCAGCGCAGTAATACTGATGCACACCCGCTCATTACACTGCCGGTCACGCCAGGGATTTCTGCAGGACCCCGCTCTGCTGAAGAAGCAGATCTTGCGGCACCAGAAGTGCCTGAATACAATTTAGCCCTATTAGAGGAACTATGGCAAGTTCCAGCGGCCCCTGCGGTAGACCCAGGTCCCCGACAGGACGAGCCGGCCTACAATCTGAGGCCGCGCCATCATATACGGCCGCCAGATAGATTCCGCCAGTGAGCGGACATGAAAAGGCATGCTAGATTAAGGAACGCGTTCCCTTGTATATATCCCCGTTAGGATAAGATGATGATTCGTCACTGACGACAATGATTACAGTTGCCAATGTTCACGATATATCATATATATCTGTTGAATAATTTTTGAAATGATTTGTACGCCGTACGTTCAACCGATAACATTAAAAGACCCGTTCTTTTTCAGGTGCTTAGAGAAAGCCGTGGTACAATCATGCAGCACCCACTTCCAAAATTATTCATTGTACTTCAGTATATCTCGTTCTCTTTAGGCCTATACCATATATGTTATTATCATCGTACCACCGAATGGTGCGCAATCGGAGATTTCGACCCTCCCGTGCTGGAACTGCCCGACAACATTTGTGCCGTGGAACAATGCCCAGAACACCAAACTTGTTTAATGTGCTCCGACTGCCCCGTCGTTAATTGGGTAACTTTCGCTCAACATAAAGGCACGCTGTATGCCCCGACACATTTTCTTTCTCAACCGCATTTCGAAACCAATGGGACCCATGCTGCCTATGATTGTACCAGACGGTTAGACGACGACCGCCGACGCCAGGCAGAGGTCTGCAATTGTCCTGAGACGCAGCCCTGCCACGGCGACGAAGCATTTTGTAATAAGCTTCCCTGTGATAATCAGTCTTCATGCTCTTGTGTTACCCGCTTTGCTAGTTTCCATTCTTATCTGCAAATTTCCCATGATTTTGGATTCGAAGACCCTCTTCTAGTGTCATTCAAAGCTTGTTTTTACCAAAGCCCAATCAACTTGGCACCCGCTAGAAAACTTCTAAGCGTAGACACTGCCAACTTTCAAAATGACTTCGCCGAAATTATTTTTTATGATCCTGTTTTTACTTTCAATACTTCAGGAACTTTCATCGCCAGGAAAGATGGCCTCGAAATTATCCATACTGTTTCAGATACCGATCGCCAATTTGTTCTTCCAACTGAACTACGTTACACAGAAGGCACGTTATCGTTTACGTTTGTTTCCCCCGATGGTAACGTTTTGTCTGGCTCAGTTTTGATCCCCAGTTCTACTCGATGTTCTAGAATCTCCTGTACTTTTTGCAAAGAAATGTTGTTGAATCTTTCATGCCTACCCCACACCATTCAGTACTTAGTTTATGGATTTATCATCGTTGTTTCTGGTCTAGTTATTATCTACGTTCGATCTGCCTGTAACGCTATTTTCAGTATACTTCGTACTATTTGCTACATTATCTTTGGCATTTACCGTCTTGTCCGTTCTTGCTTCCGCCTTTCTCTACGAACGGGCGCTGTAGCTGGCCATACATCCCGCCGCCAGATTTCTACAGCCTTCTCTAAAATCTCAAAATTTGCCGATTCACCCAATCAGGTACAGACACCACCCGCTCCTAAATCTATGCAGCTTAAGTATAGTGTGGTTATTCTTATTTGTTTTTTACCGCTCATTCTGGCTTCTTCTATTCACGATGACTGCAATGAACTCAAAATAATATCTTCTCGTATATCGCAGTGTCAAACACTGCCCACAGGTAAGCAATCCTGTGTTATCTCAGGACAGGCACAGCTTAGTCTGAGTAACATAGGTTCTACGACTTGCATGTTCTTTTCGGACGACAGTGGCGCCAATGTTTATTACCTTCGGATTAAATTTGAAGACGTCTTTTGCCAATGGACCACAATTCACCAATATTATACTTTTCCGGTTTCCGTTGAAATTTCTTCCAAGTTGATATGCCCTAACTTTGAGTATTGCAGCTGGGGAGCCAAATGTGTTCCTCGGCGAGAATACTTTCCGGAAATCACCAAAGAATCACTTTCATGGCCCGGCATCACGTCATGCATTTCTATTCCGGCAAAAACTAGATTTTGTGGCGTCATTCATTATGATCCCTGCCTTCATTTCCGCTGGTACCTACTCCCACAGTACAATGCCACCTATCGTGTTGACAAGATTACAGGGCATACCTGTCAACCGATCATTACCATTTCGGAAGCTATCGACAATCGTTTAGTCAATACCACGACATCCGATCAAGTTATTACAAATTCTGGCATTGAACTGAATGTCTTAGGTACCTATGACCAGCCCCTATCCCTGCCATCCCCATACCTCGTCCAAAACGTCCATGACTTTTCTGACTCACATCTGGAATCCGCTTCTTCTCCATCTCAGCCTACCCCAGGTCAATTGGGTGACATTCAGGCCCCCAAACCGCTGTCTACCGATTTTATTTTTAGCCCCCTCATGGTTGACTGCACTAACTACGAAACAACCCTTCGATGCCATATCCCTCAAAGTTACATTTCGGTTATCCAGAATCAGCGTCCTAATATCCTTCCTCGCGCCGTTCATAACCACCACCTTTACATTAATTCGGACGGTGTTTTGCAATCTAAACTACTTCGGAGTGCCCCAGTAAATATTCACATACGCTTCAATGACATGTCCCTTGCCATATCCCATTACAAAATTTGTCCTCGTATTGAATCGATTGATTCAGTCACTGGGTGTCATTCATGTCCAGTGGCTGCCAAAATTATCATACGAGCCAAATCCATCTGCTCTCCAGGTACGGTTTCCGTATCCTTCAATAATATCCCACTTTCATCCCGTGCAGTGGCCTTATCCACTGACAGCTCCCTCGTGACAATTCAGTTCGTTACGTCGGTCCCCTGTCACGAGGAAAGACTGTGTCTTTACTATAACGAAATTAAAAGCTGTGAACCCGTCTCTTTCTGTTTAGATACCCCGACTCTTTCCCTCACCCAGCGCAATGAGACGGTCGCCCAGTCCACAGCCGTTATTCACTCTAGTGGTCTCTTTGATTCTTTTCTTTCGACCACTTCTTCATTGGGAACTACACTACAGCAGGGTCTCTACTGGTTCTTCGCTATTATCGCCGCTATCTTCATCTTTTCGATGGTAATCAATCTATGCCGTCGATAGCCCCTATACATACATCTTGGCTATATCATTTCTTCGGCTGCTCGTCAAGACCTTCATTTTCGGTTGTATCACCATGTACTTACGGCTAATGTCATGGCGGTCTGGCGGCAACTATCTTGATGTGTTGCCCCACATGTTTCATATGCATACCTACTTGCATCCACTTCAGCCAGATCGTCATAAAAAAAAAAAATCATGTATAGTTTTTAAGGCTTGTATATGTCTGTTCGTTTGTCTTGTGTACGTATGTGCCATTGATGAAAGATTTTGTATGTTGCAGACAGCCGATCATACTCGCATCGCCTGTTGCTGCATGCCGACTCACTCCTCATGGGCCACAATGGACTGTCAAATACACACGGCTGACCGATCTTCACGTCTCCGCTGCCTGGCCAAGGGCCCGGCCGGCAGCCGGGACGTCGAGTACCCGCCGAGTCAACCACACCGCCACTGGTACCTGACTCCATGGCGATTATCCGGCGTCGCATTCACGGGACCACATTACCCGAGTGCGGTCAAAATCGCCCTACAAGTACAATCGCCACACAACCATGGTCCGGTACCAGTGCATCGACTCGAGACGTCCCCGTCGACTTCTGCTCGCGCACCATCCAGAGGTCCCCTCCACCAACGGCCGTCGCTGTCGACTCCAGCCAGTTGCCACCACAATCACTGGCCGCCAGCAGTCGACAGTACCGCCCGCTCCAGCCGGCCGCGCCTTCTGTCACTGTCCACTGACGGTGACCTCATCGGCGCGGCTCTGTCATGGGCCGGGACCTCGGACATCAAGATCCGGAGGATCTACACATCTCCGCGCTGCGAGCAAGTCACCCACCAGCTCGGGACGTCTACTTCTTCACTCGGTCGTGTGTTGTTCTGACGCCTCCTATTGTCGGCTCATGGGGGAGGGGAGGTAATGTCGCAAGGCTTTGTTCAAAGGACTATTGCTACAAGCGCGTATGGCCTTGTTCAGGTGCGTGCGGCCCGCTGCAGATCCGGGTTATTAATTCAACGACTGACCGGTTCTGCAGAGGTTTCCGCGTCGTTCCTCGAATAAGCTTATGCGCTTGCCGCATGACGCTCCTTATATGATCGCGCTGTGCGTGAAAGATCCTGTATAAAAGCGTGCGTGAATTATCAAATACACAGAGTGCTCGAGACCGGCTTTGGGGACGCATCGGCACACCGAACCTCCAGTAAGTCGGCGATTCCACCGGCCGACAGTATTATATCCTAATCATCGTACAGTATGTAGGTATGTACCATAGGTGCCTACTGCCTACTAAAGTCAATGAAGAATATGACTAGATGCCGGCAGCGCTCGTGCGTTGCCTTGGGCCAGAATTGGAGGATCCATAGCCCAATGAAATGTGCATTATTTTGGAGGCCTTGCCTGGGACTACCATTGAACCGATTTTGAGGTTGATAGCTTAAAATTTCTTTGAGCCAGAGGACCTCACGTCAAAACGGTTTTCCGACCCTAGCACGTGCAGCCTGCACCCCTCGCAGACGGTGACCCCCCTGGAAACTGGTTCAAGGTGTTACCGATGTGTCCCGCCAGTATGGCTTTGCCCGTGACCTCGGGTCGACCTGTAGCCTTGACAAAAAAAAATCGTGTCACCGAAACTTTGAAGCGGAATAGCATGTGCCACGAAGCACCGAGCGAACCGATGCCAGCACCAAAAGTTTACCTCGCCGGAGACGAATCAAACGGTCCCACTTTCGTCCCGATCGGTCCACCCATTTTGACTCCAGGTCCAAAAAAGCTTGGACAAACTCACATACTCACTCACTGACAAACAGGTTCAGCCCAAGGCCCTACATAGACTTTTTTCAGCGACCCACCAATGGGAATTTCCGGATGCATGCTATCGCATACTTTTGATCCTCCAATTCTGGAATACTTTACTGTAGGTAGCTCTGACTCCAGAAATGATTAAAAGCTACCTCAAGCACATAAAAATCGTGATCTTATAGGCCTACACTCTTCGCCAGGCCCGATGCTTAACTTTTGTATCTCGGACCTTACACGACCATAGGAAATGACGTCATTAGAGTTCTTCGTCACTATAGTCTGTTTTTCGTATCTTCTACCTTCACTCAAAGACGGTAAACTCTCTAATCACGTGCTCCAGAGAACATCTAATCAAATCAACACCGCTGCAAAGTCAATTTTTATCTGATTTTTATCTCGAACGCAAGCTCGAACGTCTGTCCCCTTGGCCTATCCCGTTAATCAAAATGCGATGTTCTTTGTCAAGTGAAATGCATTTGCATAAAAACGTGTCATCATATTTTCATTCTGGCAAAATAATCCCTTTCTAATTTCATTATGTTTTCAAACAGAAGGGCAATGGCCTTGGTCTCAGACAAGACAAAATGATCGTAACGTTTTCTTTCAACGTTTCAAAGCAAAACCAGGCCAGGGTTAGGTGACTGAAATAAGGCGGTGAAGAAGGAGCACAACCAACGAATATCGCCAGAATAACGAACTTGCTTCCTTGGATACCAGAAAAAATGTGTTGAAGGCGCGGAGAAACACCGACGGTGGTGGCACAGTTCAACTCCGTCATGCTTTCAGCGCAATATAATACGAAAAATGCATACCTACGTGGGTGTTATTTTTGTTATTACCTGCATTTGTGTATCATTATAGAAGCCCTAAGGCGTTGGTGATTGCCAGCGGTCAAAAAGTCATGTCAGATGATAACGATCACCAGCAGCTTTCGACAATACCTAATAGCTGCTAGAAATAAAGATGTTTCGACGGCGCTGTAGTTCAATCGGTTGACAAGGTTTGGTCAGATTTGTCCAAACATGTTGAGCTCGAGTTTTTTAAATTAATGACCTTCAGTGGCCTTCACTATTGACCTCAGAAAAATGCGGCATATACTATATACGTATACTGCTGAAAGTAATTGTTGAGAGCTATCGAATCTTGTCCGCGTCTTCGCACCTTTCTTACTTTTCGGGATGATCGCGTGAGGCAGATAGGAAAACTATAAGATGAAGTCAATTCTGCCTGGGGACCCCCAAGCGGGCGTGGGCTAAGACAATTTTGTTATTCGTCGGTGTAAAAGTTATCGCAACGTAAATAAAGCAAAACATAAATTAAGCATTTGAAAACAATATGGCAGAACATGCAACACATTTAGTTTCTTTTACCCAATGAAAAGGAAGTGCAAGCTTTAAACTATTCTTTAACACGCGCAGTGGAAGGGTTGCGAGTACTACGCCCAGTGGAAGGGGGGGGGGCGGATGTCGCCCCCCCCCCTAAGATCTCAGCTCCCACTGGAGCTAGAAAAACGAAATTTGGAGGGTAGGTGGGGGCCATGGGGAACTCTGTTGTGCGTGAATTTCATGACCCTAGGTCAATATCTTCAAGGTCAAATGAGGTCAAATGTGGTCAAATCTGCCATATTAGCGACTTTTTTGCGTTTACACGCCGATAACTCAAAAAGTTACCGGCCGATTTTTTTACATCTTTCACTATACGAAAGAACAAACATTTGTGAGTATTTATGGTGAATTTCTAGATAATCCAACAATAAATATGGCAGTTAGAAGCCTACTAAGGGTAAGATGTTGCCGGCTGAAGCGGCATCGGCCGACGCGGGAAACGCGGCAATCGCAATTTTGTGTTTACACACGTCATAACTCAAGTTGTTACCGGCCGATTTTCAAAATTCTTTGACCATATGATTGCCTGTACATTTCTCAGTCTTCTCACCGAATTTGACGCGAATCTAATATAATCAGCGGTAAGGAGCGCGATGTAAAGACGGAACCGTCCCGCCCCGGCACAGCCTACAATTCAGGCGGCGCGTAACGGCTAAAGGCCTGGCTACACTATGCGTTTTCTTCGTGCGTTTTTTGCGTGTTTGCGTGTTTTGCGTGATATCGTTCTAGAAAAAAGAACGATATTACGTTTTTGTGATGTTTTTCACCTTAAATTTTAGTTACATAAGAGTTATATTAGCTTTTGTATATAACCAAAGTAAAAATTATATTGTTTATAACTTTTTTCCTAGAACGATATTACGCAAAACACGCAAACCTGCAAAAACGCACGCAGAAAACGCATAGTGTAGCCAGGCCTTAACGCCGGCCGCCGCGCCGCCGAGCCGCCGCGGCGGCAGGATGTTTGACTTTACACCGCTATTACTAGAAAAGTTGTGAACCGATTTTCTTACTTCTTGCACGAGAAGATCCGCAATTCAATTCTGGACAGGTAGCCGAAATTTCACATTGATATTATGCTTGCGGCGCGAGTTATTGGCGAAAAACAGGAGGGGTGGGCGAAATCCGCCCCCCCCCCCTTCCACTGCGCGTGTTAAATGTTCTTAGCAAGAGCGCTTCGCACAACGCAAGTACCTATGGACAGCAAAACATCCTTGTGTATAGGTCGGTAGTCAGTACCAATAAACCGTGGTAACGGTAATACAAGCGATACTCTAGCTTAAAGGTTTATTTTCCGATTTTATCTGCGCAGCGGAGGCGACCTCCAACACGAGCAACAAACTCCTGCAATGAGTGGTGGGCCATGCGGTCAAGATTTGAAAACTATACCCTAAAAACGTGCTGGAGGGGCAAAACATCTTTGAGTGAAGGTAGAAGATACGAAAAACAGACTATAGCTCCCGATCAAATCGACCTGGCAAATTGGAGAAGCCAGTAGCCACCAATAAACTCGTTATGAGCCGTTTTCACGACGGCCATCGGGTACACATTTGGTGCACATCTTGTGCAGATTAGGTACAGATTTGGTCAAATTAGGTTAAGTGTGTCTCTTAGTACCTAGCTATCAGCTAGAGTTGCACTTATTACTTATATGCCTACTTTGTCATATTATCAGAGAGCATCATCGATTAAAACACTGAAATAAATTCATAAAATGAAGAGATTTGCTGCAAAAGAGATTAGGTGCAGATTTGGTCAAATTAGGTGCATTCGCCGGATAGCCCGTCGTGAAAACGGCTATGAGTTTGCGCGTCTGCGAAATCGCATGCTATGGAATATGACTTCCTTCCACCGACTTAGCCATAGGCGGCGGAACGATTTGAGACAAGGGGGGGGGGGGGGGGCACCAGCTCAAGGAGCCAAACCTAGGGTACCCCCAAATCCTGTTTTCTCATCGGATTTAGGCCACTTATTTTTCGTCACAGCCCTGACACGATGATTTTTTTTGATTTTTTATTTTTTTTACTAAACGAAAATGGCAGTTCACTCCCGTATGTTTGGTTAACTTTAAGCTGATCCTCAAGTACCTATGTGTTTGTCTCTTCCTTATTGTCGTTTGATAAATTCCATTTATCCTACATGTATCAAATTCCCAAGAAGCCATCGCAGTACTAATCAGTGGCGAATCCCAAGGGGAGGTCACATAGGTCATGACTTAGGGCCTGGGGTCACCACATGCCTGCCAGGAGCACCACAGGCCTGACAGCCGACAGGGGCACCACAGGCCCGCCAGGGGTAGTACCACAGCCCTAGCAGGGGCCCACGGGCCTGTCAGTGGCACCACAGGCCTGTCAGGACTCAGGAGCACCAGCGGCCTAGCAAAAGCACTACAGGTCTTCCAGGGGCACCGCAGACCTGCCAGGGGCACCAGAGGCCTGCCAGGGGCACTATCGGCTTCGCAGGGGAATCACCGGCCTCGCCAGGGCACCACAAGCCTGTCGTTGGCACTATAGGAAGTCCTCTCCGTGGCCGAGTGGATAAAAGCGCCGGAGTTCGACGCTTAGCCGGAAATGAGAGCCCGGTTGAAGCCCCGGTGCGCGCGGCCACATTTAGCTCCTACGTGTAATGGCGTGCGTGTCTGTGGCAGGGGCCGCACAGAAGCCAGGTAACGTGAGTGAGATGAGGGGACCGTGTCCAGTCGTTAGGGCACGTTAAACGTTCGGACAAAATTCTGCCATACAACTGGAATTGCGCGATCGGGTGGTGGGGTCAGGGTCAGCACAACAAGCTATGCTTAGTGCGGGCTCTGATTCCTCAAATCCACCCATTCGGACTAAATTTATAAAAAAAAGGATTGTCAGGGGCACCACAAACCTGTCAAGGGCACCTGCCTTCTAACAGGGGCACCACAGACTCGCCAGGGGCACCACAGACCTACCAAGGCCCAGGGACACCACAGGCCTGTCAGGGGCACCACGGGCCTGTAAGGGCCCATGGGCACCTAAATCATGTC